ATGCGAGCACACAATAGCACAATCACATTTTAATTTCCAGCCTTTCAAATGTTGACTTGTCGTATGAATATTAAAAGCGAGAGATGCCTTTGAAGACTTTGTTTTAATGTTCTTAGAAAATTTTTTAATTTTTTTTTTTTTTTTCATTCAACTAACTAGAAAATTAATATTTTTTTTTTTTTTGGTTTTTTTTTTTTTACTTCACATGAATATTTCAGCTGGGTTAAGTTCGCTCATCTATAAATGAAGATCTGCTCCTTTCCAGCCCCCTCATGAAATATTGATCCGTGCATGCAACACGTGTGTCTTCAATCATGTCGACGGATATTTTCACATGTTGTTGTTGCAGCAGCATCCTCTCCCGCTTTCCGACAGCGCTGGATGGATGTGACTCTGTCCTGTCGAGGACACTGGCACGCACACTTGAGCTAAAATGTGCACACCCACAGTTTTGACAGTACAATGAACCGACAAGTACAGTCAAAGTCACAACCTTTGTTTTACTCCTCTGACCACTACATGGACCCTCACAGTTAGCAGACACAGCTCACTTGCTTCTGTAGACAGCGCTCCAAATCCCTCTCAGCAAAATTAGGCATCTTAGCTTCCCTTTTGTTCTCGGTTTTTCCACTCTTTTCTCTTCACTCTCGTCAGCTTTTATCTCGTCGAGCCTCTCATTTCTCTCAAATCCTCTTTTCTCCTTTTTGTCTTGGCTGTCTCTGTTGTCTTCGTTAGTCTGCCTCACATTGTAGTGAAACAACTTCCGCTCTGATCCAGGACTCCACCACCACGGGCTTATCCAGTGTGTGCGTGCACAGTGTGTCTATGGGTGCAGCGTGAAGCCAGGCTGTGAGAGAAGAGTGTGTTTTTGAAAATGGAATGCAAAGGGAGGGCGCGTGGAAATTTGTGTATGTGACCTCCTTTCCTGGCTGCTTGACAGGAATTGGTAGAGTGCTTGGACTGGGTGGTCGTTGCAAAGCACTCAGCCATCCATCGACCGGCAGCCATTGATCTGCAAAATCCAATGACTCACTAGCTGTTCAGAATGCAACCCACATACATATACATGCAGATGTGACTGCTGTGTGTGTAAACAAGCGCACATGCAGACACTGACTGATTAATGTAATTACAGTCCACAAATTAAATGAGTGTAATTGGCCCGGAATATTTAAACAGAGTTGCTCTTTTGCAGATTGCAGTGAACGGAGATTGCTAACCCCAGCCCACACATTGCAATTAAGAAAACACCACTGGAATCTGAAGGTGGAATTAAAATACTGGCTTTGCATTTCTAAGTAAGACATTTGTTGCTGGGGTTATTTATTTATTTTTGTTTTTAGGGACTGTATGAAAATTATTAGTAGAGCAGGTGGGAGATATTTTGGACTTTTGCTCATCCCAGAGCTATGACATTGAAAAATATTCACAATAAACACGACAGCTGTTGTGGATCATAAATGCTGTCTATGTTTTTTTTCCTCAGCCAAACTTCTGTTCCCAATTTATAATAACTATTAATTTGTCAGCTCATTATTTAAAATTAGACAGTGGTCATATTTTCCCTTTTTCGTTATGTTTTCTACATTGTTGGTGACATTGAAGGGGTCTAACAAAAATATTAAAGCTACGCCTGAAAAGATGAATTGATTTCGTCCTCTTCACACTTCACTACATCTAATCGGATACCTTTCTAAAATTCTATAACACTTCTGGATAACATTTTAATTGTAATCCAACCCGTGCTGTAAGTATCCATTTACTTGCTCATCTTAGATAATATTGTGAACGAAGAAATACAGCCACAACCTTAAAAACATCGACAGGCGAAGCGAATAACATTGATTATCTCATTACAATGGCATCTGTCAATGGGAAGGATATATCAGGCGGCGAGCGAACAGTTCTCGAAGCTGACGTGCTGGAAGCAGGCAAAATGGGCGGCGTGGAGATCTGAGCAACTTGGATGAGGGCCAAATTGTAATGGCTAGACAACTGGGTCAGAGCATCTCCAAAGCGGCAGGTCTTATGGGGTGTTTCAGTATGCAGTGGACGGCACCGAAGATGGTTCAAGAGAGGATAACTGGTGCAGCGCATACACAACAGGGTCACGGGTGCCTAAGGCTCATTGATGCATCCAGCAATCCCACAGAGAGGCAGAATTTGCTGGAACCCTAAATGCTGGCTATGACTGGAAGATTTCAGAACACACGGTACAATGCAGTTTGCTGCATACAAGCTTGCCACAGACTGGTCATGCTGAGAGTGAGTGTCCACGCTGAACCCTGTCCACAAAACACCTACAATGTACACATGAGAATCAGAGAATCTGGACCATGGAGCAACGTGGGTGGCTGGGTGCAGATGCATTGTTTTCCCGGGGAAGGAATGGCAGCAGGATGCACTGTGGGAAGAAGGCGAGCTGACAGAGGCGGTGTGATGCTCTGAGCAACGTTCTGCTGGGAGACCTTGGATTCTACTTGATGTTACTTGACACGCACCACCTACCTAAACATTGCTGCAGATCACCCTTTGTGTCAGAGCAACACAACAAACAGTTCAAGGTGTTGACTCGGTCTCTAAATAATTACGCAGATCTAAATGTGATTGAGCATCTGTAGGATGTGCTGGAAAAACAAGTGTGATCCACGGGGGCTCCACCTCGTCGCTTCCGAAACCTAAAGGATCTGCTGCTAATGTGTTAGCGCCTGATAGGTCACAGCTGTTAAGGCGACACAAACAGATCTGCACAATATTAGGTATTATTAAGTGGTTTTAATGTTTTATGGATGAGCTTCGCTTGAACTTCTGTGACCTTCCGTGTCAACAAACAGGTTTTAAGGGAAAGTTGCGAAACAACACTAATGACTTTAAGCCCAACTTCTGATGAAAAAAAGAAATCTGCCGATGCTCCGCGTTGAATCCCATCCGAGTTTCAGCAGCAGAATGAGATTAAATTTGTCAATCACCATTACAACAAACCAACTGAGTAAGAAATCACCTCAGTCATGACAGATTGAAGTGATGAAAGGACCAAACTGAAAGAAAATGAAAATGATCCACTGTCAGTCGAAAGCCTTTAATCCGTGACTATGGTAATGATGAAGACAGAGGCAGAATCACTCACTGTGGAGTTTTTTAACCTTATTATCAAATTCTTTAAGCAAATCCACAGATTAAAGGCTTTCAAACTTTCCTCCTGCCTCGGGTCGCTCGTCTTCGCTCGACATCGGAGTAAAACTGAGGACTTGTATACTGAAAATAAGTATTTAATGTGTCAAATCCCCCAACCTACTTAACTTACTTTACTACTGTTCCTACATGATCTTTAGAGCTTTACACTAGAGTGCTTTTAAAGCCCTTCGGGTTGACAGAGAAGGTCAAAAACAGTTTGTGGTTACACGCGGCGGAAACAAAGAGAAAGTGCACCACTTGTGGGAGGGATTTATAACTACAGGTGTTTTCCATCCTAAATCATTTTTTCTGAAAGGTCAGTTCAATTATCTAAGCACCCAGGATATGACATGGTAGCATAAGCCCATTTCAAACACTATCATTATCTTTATCTATCTTTATCTTTCTGTTACACGGGCGAGATACAAACTGCCCACACACAAGCGCACAGTCCCGCAGATCAATACGTTTTACAGTCAGGTTGTGCTGCTGGACTTCATCTCCGTTGTGGAGGCTTTTCATTATATCTGAGAGTGCTCCTTCACTGCTGGGCACTGCCAGACCAATGTCACTTACTGTCATCCCATTCATACGCCGCACTAACCAGATGTTTCAAGATTTCAGTGATCGTTCTTCTTCCAAACACAGGCTACTCAACAAAGCCAGTTACAACTTGTGTATGTATAGGAACAAAAATGTAATCAATATCACCTCCCACCATGCATACACCAGCTTTTGTTGTTGAGGAAAAGCAAAGAGAGGAGGTATATAGCACTGCTTCTATTGATAAAGAAATTTCACTCTTTTAAAATATGTTATCTGGCTCCACTGCCCTTTAGGAAAATGGCATTTTTCCAAAAGGGCAAGCAGCACTCCGCCATACTTTTATAGATATATATATATATACACTGCTCCATGAATTTGATACAGCTCATTTCAAATACGCTGCAACCTTTTATCTTTCCTTTAAAAAAAAAAACCCCAAAATAAGTTCACTCTTCCGGTCTCTTTCCTTACCTGCAAATTGACGTACTCTGAAGCTAATCTTGAACTCCACAAAGGCAGAGCTGGAGGACATTTGATTGAATATTGAGCAGTGAATTGTTCATTCTGCAATCATGGTTTGGAAAATTTAATTCATTGAAGATAATCACTCATCACAAAATATAAACACCCAATTGATTTCTGTAACAAAACAATAGCAGCTCCTTTTGTCTGTTTTTTTTTTTCTTCTTCCAAACTTGTAAAAGCAGAGATCTGGTTGCAAAGAGTAGAAGCCGTGGCAGCTTTAATGTCTCTCGCTTTATAGTTAAAATACATCACATTAATTGTGAACAGTACGCCGCATTACATATGGATGAATCCACTTCAGTCCCTCAGCAGACACCTATTAAGTCCGTAACTGTACCAGCCTGATGTAGATGTATTTTCAGTTTTAAATCACTTTGATAAACTGAACGCTAACGAACAATAACTGCCACCATTTATTCAAGTTTACAATGTAAGCTGCCAGGATGTTTAGAGTTAGTAACCATGACACCAGAGTGCCTTAAAAATCCCTCAAACTCTAAACAGGGGACGACGAGTTTCCAGCACTACTGGAATCAACATAATGTGAAGCTATTCCTCTGAGGGACTGGAGCTGTGAATGTTTTAATTAATGTGGTCGTGTGTGTGTGACGACGTAAACAATCTCCGTTGTGATCTTGTCTATACAGTTCGCTCTCTCTTGCAATAACAACCTTGATCGCGATGAGACTTCCTTAATAAATAAAGCTGAACTAAAACTGGCAAAAGTGAACATAGCCAAGTCGGGGAACAGTACGTACAGATCGTTGAGGTTTTTAATAATCATCAACACATTTATGTACAAAGCAAGCGGTGGTCATATTCAAATGACCAAAAGAAAAACAAAAAAAAATATTTTTAAATTGCGTTTTTTCCTTTTTTTTTTTTTTCTTTTCTTTCTTTTTTTTCAGTCATTAAAATAGCTAAAGGTTACCTCAGGGAATCAATTCAACGGTTCAACACTTGTGGTACAGAGTAAGTATAGTTAAAGTCTGACAAAACCTTCACAGATTATCTTCCACAGTTAAACAGCCCTGGGCACGTGAGGGTGACAAAGCAGGATGGATTCAGAATGATTCCCCACCCACCACCCGCCAATGAAAATTAATGTAAGTCCGAGACTTTTTAAAAACCAGAATCCCTGTCAGTTTCCCCAAAAGCACCAAGTTCGTCTTTCTTCTTGTTATCCAAATGCGTTCAAATGAAAAATATTTACCCAGAGCCGCGCACACAACACGGGCCCGGGTATCAGCATACACAGTACAAAACCAGTATTGGATGTGTTGGTGGATTCAATGAAACAGGCTTGGTGTGTGTTTCATGTTACATCCCTTCCTCTACAGCGACTATCTCCTGTTTATCCCCCCCGAATACGATGCTGGAAGATGTGTACATTTCATGTGGCTATAGTTCTTTCTTCAAAATGAGCATTTTGAGACAAAGAACCTGATTGTCTAACACACAAAACATTGAACAGTGACACAGCTCAGGACATTCTCAGCGTTCTACGTTCATACTTTATACAGTACAGGCCATTCGTCCGCCCCAGTGCAATAATGTGAATTATGTTATGCATGTGTGAATCTAGAAAAAAAAACCCAAGACACCACTGAAACTGAACTGTTGTAAAAATGTAAACAACCGCACTGAAAAGCTGAAGCCTCTCTTCAGCAGTCAGTCATACAGTGAAATAGAAATGCTTTTCTAAACAAGTGTTATTACCTCCATTTACAGTATGTTTAAGGAAATATTCACGTGCATCGTCTCTTATTTGTGATCAGGAAAACTACAAAGGTTCGTATTTAGCTTGAGCTTGGTGGTTAAAGATCCAGTCAACTGATCCTGGTTGTCTCGGACTTTTGCTGCCTGTATCAAATATAAAACCGTCAATCAGCACTGCTTTCAGTCAAAAGCCAAAATCCCACATGGCAAATGAAAGACAAATGTGATCACTGCAGTTGTCAGAAAAAGAAAGAAAAAAAACAAAACAACTAATGGTACACTTTCTGTACTTCTTAAATGAAAACACACAGCAGGGTATGTTATGGAATTGGTATTAAAACTCTGAAAGAGCAAGTGTCCTTTCAAATCTAAAGCAAAACGTGGTTCCATCAAAGCTCAAAAGAAAGACAGGCTCGGGACAGAGATGAGCTTGGTGCTGTCAAAACAGTGGAAAGAAACTCACACCCAGGGCTGTACTAACTGAATTAGTAATGTTTTGTGAATGGAGAGACTCCTTTTCATAACCAGGAATAGAAATCTCCTTCTTTTGCAGCAAATATATTCACTTGTCCCCGTCCTTCAAAACAGTCAGATCTGTTTCAGAAAACACGACACGTGGCGACTCTCATCCTGGAAGTCCAACCTTGTGAAAACGAATCACGTGAGGATCTACTATCTCTAACTTCATCTGCATTATTTGTTTATAAAACCAGGGACCACTTAACACAATCCTTTAAGAAAGCATGAAGGTAAAACAAATTTAGAGAAACTTAGAGAACTTTTACAAAAACACTTGCGCCACTAGTTAGTTTGGTTTGTTCCCTCTTCGGTCTTCACGACAGTGACTGCAGCAAGACTGAGGGGTTGGTGGTGAAAGTCACTATATACACACACACACACACTCACTGTACAGTCACGCAACTGAGCACACACCAGTGTGTCCAGTCTTCTCAGTGGTATCACAGGTGAAAGTCTGCCAGTCTCTCGCTCTCACACAAACCGAAACAAACTGGGGAGCGGAGTGGGGGGCAGTGGCCGGTGCTCCTACGTTACAACTGTGACAACTAGGGTGCTCGTCCAATCAGTCATGTCATCTGGCGAACTGTAAAGAAGTCCTACTGTGAGTTCTCCTGTAAAGAATCTTGCCCGTTTTCCTTCAGTCCGTTGAGGGGAGTGGCTGTGGGCAGAAAGGGTAAAGTTTGCATGAACATTTTGTCTCATTTGCTTTAATGCAAATCATCAGTTAATGCCAACACAGAACAATAGGTGTCATCACGTTTTTCTCTAACACGTAAAACAAAGGATCATTGTTTGAATTGTTCAAAAAAATTTGCGTAATTTAACTCGTCTCCAGTCAAGACCACGTACAAAACTCATATGTCGCATTTGAGGTATCGATGTTTGGCATGCTCGAACTTTGCTATTTGAGGTTCTAAGAAAAAGTTATCACAGATATGACAAACTGTACAGTACTGCCATGACATATACATTACTTGAATACAAATTTATTTACACAATACAGGTAGCAGGTGAAATAAAACAGCAGTCCCCAAAGTCAGTGTGGGTCTTTAAACAAAAGTGAAATGTATGCAAAGTTGGACAGGGTAGAAAAAAAACCCCGTCTCAAATAATGAATGGGCTTATGTATTTTAACGAGTCGCTGATAAATGACTTAACTAATCATAAATGATGAACGATGCAGGGAGAAGGAATGGTAACAGAAAAAGGAGCGAGAGTGCTAAGCCAAATGAAAAAGGCTAGAATAGAAGAGGAAGATTATTCCATATCCAAAACATGATTTAAAAGTTTTAAAATAGGGAGTGAAAGACAAAAAAATGCAGGGACAATCACCAAATTGCCTACAGAGTGACGGGATAACGTTCACTCAAAATCGAGACAGCCAAAAGTGATTTACTGGACAAGGTGAGGATCAATTTAATAAGCCTAAAAAGGTAAATACAGGAGTGCGATTTAGATGCTGGAAATGCTTAAACATGACATGCCAAATGCTTTTTAATATCACTAATTAAAGACCCAGCACCCACAACAGAATGCAATGAAACTTTAAAAAGTCTGAACATAAAAGATTAGAGACATTACCTTGAGGGCTTCACGGTTTTAGCTTTCATCATCTGAGACATGGGGTTTTGCAATGGCCATCTCCTCCTTGCTATTTGCGATCATCTTACATTTCTACAAAAAAAACACAGAGAGAAACCCGTTAGTAATATTTAGTAAAATCATCCTTTGCAGAAATCACCAAATGCTTCATATCTTCTCAGCTGATGCTCATCCAGGCCCCTCACTGCAGCCACCTTCAAGTTTGTGCTTGTTGTGGGTCTTTCTGCCTTTAGCCTTCAGCAAGTGGAATGCAGCACAACTGGACTGAGATCAGGCGATTGACCACTCAAGGATGTTTCACCTATTATGTGCTTCTTATGCACACAATTTGTTTGTGTTGGCTGTAAATATTTAAATACTCCCATGTAACTGCGCGTGTATCCTTTAGCAGTGAGTTCAGAGTCCGAGGTTGCGACTGGCCACAAAAAGGTCAACGAAAGAAATCTAGCTGCAGTCTAACATCACTTTATGAACGGCAGTGAGACGTATAGCCATAAGTAAGCAGGCAACTATGGACCAACCATCACCACAATGTTCTGGAATCACATTTGCATGGGTGCAGCTGTTCTGTGTCTCATCGCTCCCTAAAATTTTGCTCCAGAACTCTGTTGGTTTAGAGGCGAACAGATTTACATCTTGTGGTGAATCCACTGAGATTACCGTCATGGAGTCCTCTCATCTGCTTCTTGCCGTGCTGACATAAAATGTTTTTTTTTCTCCTTCACTATCAAATGATTTTCCTGTCATCCACAATCTGGTCCTCAGTCTACCAGTTTTTGTGCCATTTTCTAGTTTCCTGCACACACGTACTGGGTACTGATTTTGGCACACCACACACATTTCATATCTCTCTTTGTTCTTAGGTTCCTGCTGTTTCATCCTTATTATTATTTTCTTCACTTGTATTGTGAGGGAGGCACTTCTCATATTGCCAGACAGCTCTGCCTCCATCTAAATGATGCCTCTCAGTTATCTCTGAACCAAAGGTGAGCCCTTTTGTGCATGAACTAATATTAAAATGACACACCGCTGCCCAAGAAGCATTTAGCAGCCATGCGTCCAATTACTTTTGAAGCTTAGCAATGAGTGCGCTGTTTTAAGAGGGTTGCATCTCACACGCAGTTCTTCAATATTGATGCAAACCTACTTAAATGAAAGCTTAATGTGCTAAAGTGCAAAGCCTGAGAAGATCCCCCGCACAGAAAAATACCAACATAAACATTCTTCGGACTTCATTTACCTCAGTAAGTTCCTTGATGGTATGTATATTAGCCTGCTGAGTGACCTTCCTCTTCGCTTCCTCGATGTGGTCCAGGTTGAGAGTTGGTTGAGGGGGGGCAAGGCACGGGGGAGGTTTGTTAGTAATGGTAGGAAGTGGGGCAAGGGGAGGCATGGCCGCCAGGGCACCCATGTTGGTCAAAGCAGCTGTCATCGTAGCTGCTGTCATACTCGCCATAGCGGCACTCATGGTGATGTTTGACATGCTGGGCATTCCTGGAATATTGGGTATTCCCATTGGACCCATGTTGGGCATATTCGGCATGTTGGGCATCCCCATGCCCATTGGAAGAGGTAAAGGTAAAGGTAAGGAGATGGGGGCAGGAGATGGAGTGGGCAGAGGGAGCTGCAGGATGGCTTTCGGCCGAAGACTCTCAGGAATGGGAACCCCCGCCTTAGCACACATTGCAGCAGCATTAGCCTTGGCTATCTCAAGCAGCTGGTCTTTATCTGAGAAAAGAAAGGGTGAAAGACAGACAGAGAGGTGATGCACAGGGCATAGGATGGGTAAACAGAGAGGGAAATAAGGCGAGGTTAAGCAAATTGTTTTGTGAATGTTCATAAATATAGGATCAGGGGATAAATGTTAACAGCTTTACATGTGATTGTCATTAGTTACAGTCAAAATGTTTTACCCAGTTCAGTCAGCCGTGGAGGCGTCTTGCTGGTGCTGCGTCGTGTCCGGGACCCTGAGCGGCGTTGTTTACGGAGGATGAGAACTGGAGAGTGACTAGGTTCCCTCTTCCACCTGTCCCGTCTATCAAATGAACGACTGCGAAACACCGGGCGCCTCCCTCGACCCCTCGACCTTGACCTGCGTCTACGATCAGAGGAACGGGACCGTGATCGCCTGCTTCTGTCTCCTGATCTGGACCTTTTCCTTCGGCCTGTGGAGCGACTCTTGGATCGCTTATTTCTTTCCGTGGACTTGGACCTTCTCCTTCCTCGAGCATTTGGTGAACGAGATCGCCTCTTGCGGGCTGGAGAGCGAGACTTGGACCGGCGAACTCTAGTACGTGACTTGGACCTGGAACGCTTCCGTCGTGCAGCGGAGCGAGACCGTGACCTTCGCCGGCGGACAGGACTCCGAGATTTGGACCGTCGCTTCTTCCTTTCTGATGGAGAGGCTGGTTCTCGTTTTCTCACTGGAGACTTGGACCTGAGACAAGGTGAATGACAAAACTAGTCAATAATTGTACAAAATCAAGCAACCTGCTGTAACAGTTACAGAACAAGCAGAAGGGCAGGATTGTTTACACATTCGTCATGGTAGTACTTATTTAACTTGCTAGCTACATTTGCTACTACAGCATGTTAGTCAACCTCATGCAGTTGAGGGATTAGATGTCTTTAAAGTCCCCATTACTAAGATCTTGAACATCCAATAGCTTTAAGATCTTGAAGTAAATTAAAATTCTTACAGGACCAATAAAAACTGTAATTCATGATGTAAACACACTGCCACACAACCAACCTGGACAGCTTTCTTCTAGATATAGACTTGGAGGCTGAACGGCGAGGCGACGAAGTTGAACGTGACAGTTTCCTGCGATCTGTAGGTGAGCGTGACTTGGACAGCTGCTTGTTCTTTACTTCAGGAGATGCTGAACGTGAGGAGCTTCTCTGGCTTTTAGAGACCATTTTAACTGGAGATTCCTCTTCTGCATCTGAGCCTTCCGAACCACCAGACCCATCTGGGCCAGTGCCAGGCTCTTGAGAGGCAGACCTGGACCTGGAAACTTCTTGCTCATTGGATGAACTGGTATTCTCCTTTTGGGTACCATACCAGCTTGTCCAATTACTAAGCTGCTCTTGCAACTTATCTGAAGAACTCGCAGGCTGGGAGCTGGAGGGAGCTGCTGAAGGTACTGGTTTCCAAGCACCTGCAAGTGCATGATAAATATGGACATTTTAGGAACAAAACAATACATTTGTTGACTTGAGTAATTGAAATCTAACGATGAGTAGGGAAAATATCTGCCATAGGATTCTCTTAATAACTGCAAGTACAGAAACTGTGAGAGCAAAACTAATTTGAGTTATCATAATTTGCTTAAAATAGTAAGAGTGAAAATGTCTCACCTGTTGTCACTGAAACTGCTTCATTTTCGCTCGCTGCCTTTACACAAACGGCCGGCTCTGCCTTGGGGGAGGATGACTTCTTTTGTTTAACTGGGGAGACAGATACGGATCTGGCAGGGGATGAGCTGTCAGACCCCCCATCACTTGATTCAGACCTGGACCTTGACTTAGATCTGTTCACGCCCGCAGAGACAGATTTAGACTTAGACCTTCGTCCACTCTTCCTAGGAGATTTGGACCTCCTTTTGCTAGGCTGTGGTGAGTGCGACTTTGATCGGTGCCTTCGAGACAATGAGCGGGACTTGGAGCGTTTGCCAGACCTTGGGGGAGAACGGTTTCTCCTGGCGGGAGACCGAGAGCGCCTTCTGACTGGCGATCGAGATTTAGACCTCCGTCGGGAAGGAGGGGTTCCGGATTTGGTCCTTTTACGGGGACTCCTTGTTCTAGAGCGCCGGTTGCGCTTCAGCACGACAATGGAACGTGACCGGGTTCGCCGGCTCCTGCGAATTGACCGGGAGCGTGAGCGGCGGGATCTGGGTAGTGGTGACCGCCTGCGTCGAGACAAGGATCGACTCCTGGAGCGCCTGCCTCCCGCACGTCTTAATGACCGTGACCTGGAGCGACCAACAGGGCGTCTAGATCTAGAGCCGGAGCGGCGCGTTCTAGTGACAGAACGCGACTTTGAACGCCTGCCGACTGCACCACCACGTCTCGGTGAGCGGGTTCTGGAGCGCCTGTTGCCACCACGGGAACGTGACTGGGACCTTCGACTTCTTCTTGGAGACCGAGATAGAGAGGGGGATCTGCGGCCGCCGCGTTTAGGGGATCGTGACACTTTTCTTTTAGGAGAGGGAGAAGCCTGGCGTCGCTTTGGGGAAGCAGACAAAGAACTTCGCCGCCGTTTAGGAGACTTGGATTTTCTTGGAGATTTTGACACCTTTTTCTTGGGGGTGAGGGAGCGAGAGGTAGATCGAGAACGACGACTAACTCTCTTTGGAGACTTGCGGGATGGAGAGAGCGACTTCCTCTGAGGTTTAGGGGACTTGGAGCGGGACCGAGAACGGGACAGCTGGTGACTCTTCAGAGGAGTTGAAGACTGTTTTCCCTTTGAGGTTGACCTGGAATGGGATCTTGACCGTTCTTTTGGTAATGTTTGACCACCAGACTGTTGCCTGCTGAGACTAGGTGATGGTGACCGACTTGGACCTGACTCAGTCCTCTTAATGTCTAAGCCCCTGGAAGGTGAAGGTGACCTGGACAAATCACGCTCCTTGATCTTTGCCCTCTGAACTGCACTGGTCTGATCTTTCAAGCCTGGGTCATCTCTTGGGGTCGTACCTTCCTGTTTTGGGATGATGTCCGGGAGTTCCTGGGCATGGCTGAATGTACCATCTCCATGACTGCCCTCTGTTTTAACCTTAACTGTGTCTGTCTGTGTTATCTCATCCTGGCCTGCAGATGGTGATCTCATATCCGTTTCTGATTCATTGGCGTTACTACCCTTCCCTCCAGTGGAGGACACATCCATATCTGATATCTCCTCTTTCTTTACTTCAAGCAGTCCAGGTTTCTGTGAGAGAACGGGAGCTACTTTCTCTTCCCCTCGTTTGCTTTTTGGAGCCAGTCTGGATACTGGTTCTTGAAGGTCAGATGCTGCAGCTGGAGAGTATTTGCCATCACCAGCTGCTTTACCTCCTTCACCTTCAGACTCAGAACCTGAAGCTGAACTGCTTTCAGACGGGGACCGTGATGGGGATTTCTTTTCCTGCTTTTCATCCTTCTTCCTCTTCTTTTTCTTCTTTTTGGCAGCATGTCTTTTGTGTTTTTTGGATTTTGTGTCTCCCTCGTCCACACGATCTTAAAGAAGAAGTCATGATTTTAAAAAAATAATCTTCAAAAATCTTTACTTTAAAGAAATATATGAATTACAGTTGTGACTGACTGTCTTCTACCTGTAATTGTATCCCTTTTGCCCTCTTCCTTTAGCCCAGCATGATCTCCAACTCCTGCAGCTGCTGCCAAACGGGCACTAAAAACAAACAGAAAACTAGGTTAGCATTTTCCTTGTTAAAGTACAAAACCTTAAATTCCAATACAAACACACACAAGAGGTCCATCCTGTCACTCTGCACAGTCTTTGTACAGCCTTATTGTTGTGGTACATTGGGTAAATAATAATAGCTTAAACATGCATTTCAATGATAATTATAATACATGCTTTCGTCAGCCCCACTACAGAGACAAAGCCTGCTACTTTTATGCTCACACTGTGCAGATCAGTTAATCAGCCATCAGCTCACATTGAACGTAAACATGTAAAAACGTCCAGTAAGTCTTTATCACATAGGAGGACTTTTGTCTTTCGTGTTACCAAAAAAGAAAATGAACTAGCAATTCTATTAAAATAATTCAGGGATAGAATCTTCCGAATCTGTACAGTGTCTGCTTAGCTTAAAGTACTTCAGATGTGTTTGAGACATTTGGATTTCTAACCATATTCCACCAAACTGCTTTTGTATTTTGTATTCGTAATCAATGCAGCATGAATACTTACTTTAAGGGATCCTGATTTATTAGTCAAGTCAGATTTATTAAAATATGAAGAACTGTAAAAATTTCGATTGAGTGCATTTATCAAGTCAAAGAAGTGCTGAGTGCATTTTAAGTTTTCCTGACCTGGCTCTGGTGGTCCTGACAGGTCTCGGAGGAGGTGGTGGCTCCACGTCAGATTCGGCACCAGATTCTGAACTGCTCTCCTTCTCGCCCTTCCTCCTCCTTTTCTTCTTCTTGCTCTTGTGTTTTCTGTGCTTCTTGTTCTTCTTGTGGGGTGGCTCATTCCCTTCCTTGGCATTCATGTCGTCTTTCTCAGGTGCTTCATCCTCACCTGCAGTGGAACACAGTGTGTCTGATTATGCAAGTCTTGAGCAAATCCATAACAAAACCCAGAGCAGATTGTTAGGAATTACCGCAGTACTAGTTTTGCATCATCTGAAGGCTTGTATTGATAATATTATTCATTTCACTTTGCAAGGTCGTGCAAACTGCTGAGGGATATTTCATAGACAGGAGTTAGTTTTACACCTAACCTGTACAGCACTCAATATCATGCTTGGTTTTCCATATTTATAACTAGCCATACCAGGAGCAACTGCACTGTGTTGTATTTGAGTGATTTTCTTGATAATGATGAGCATGGCCAGTGCAGTCTCTTCCCTCCAGCTACGATGACCTAACCATATCCGAAGGTATGCACAGTGATGGCTATCCAAGATGCAGTTTTACACAAATCAAAAGCAGTTGGAGAGTTGTTTATTTTTTAAAAAAAAGGAAGAAGAAAAACAAAGGGTATTTCACCTCAAATGCAATTTTCATGTGTTTTGAATATTTTTGGGGCAATAGACAGACAAACAGTTTGACATAAAGGTTTAGACCTTAAAGAGCAGGAAAAGAAAAACAATGGGTAACAATTAAAACAATATAGGCTTGTTAGTGTTCCATCCATAACTTACCCGAGGGAATGTCCACTGCACATTCCATTATGCTGGTGCCCCGATTTTCTAAAAGGCCCTCTTAACGTTACTGGTGTGCTGCTCCCTCACTCAACACTAGAGAGGGAAACAAAGGTAATAAAGTTAAGCAACAAAGAATGCAGCAACAACAGAAGAAAAAATATAGATTTCATCACTACAGTACAGCAAAATGTAAGTGAAGATATCTTCATTTCATCAGTGACTGCTAACATTCCCCAACCTATATATAAAGACAGGTACCATGGTCCAAAGCAAAATAGTTCCTGGACAGTTGTGAGGTAGCAGTATTTAATCACTTATAAATATAGAAACACCTCTTTATACAACTACAGTACCACACTTTACAGCACGTCTCTAAAAGAACATATAACCATATAAAAATGTTTGACGAAACATGGAGGTATCTATCAGTGTGCGCTGCTTCGTTAGGGGATTGAGGCGTTTCTATTTCCATTTATACACAGGTAGTGTCATGAATGTTGATCTCAGTAATTGTGACTTTCTTTTGTCTGTCACATGTTGTAGTCCCACCACAATTAGGGAATTATTCTGGTCAACAACTTGACTGTTCAGCTGGCAAACTAGGACAGCTCGTTTCCAAACGCACATCCACCCCAATAAACCTACAGCATGTCTCAGCACAAAGAATAAAAACTGACAAGAGTACTGTGAGGATAAAGGTGTAACTTATTTTGCACTTCTTAATATTGTCCAGTCTACTTTATCAATAAGTTTCTAGTTCACCATTCTGTATGGTTAAAGCAACATAACAAAACAAACAAAAACAGAAAGTGTAAGTGAACACTGGCCTGTGTCTTCTAGCAGATTACCTATCTTTGGGGACTGGATGGACTGTAAATATCTAATGCTTCCACAGGCAAAATACCTGCCCTTTAACACGACTGACTGAGATGCAGCCAGAGACTAAAACGGTCTGCCAGCACTTAAATATAGGAGCGTTGGCACTATAACCTAATGCCATATCCATCAAGGACAAAGCAGCCCGAACATATCCTAAACCAAAGCTAGGATTCCCTCCAACATTACAAAGTATTAATGCAAACACATTTCAGCAATATGTGATTATTGAGCTTGGAAATGCCTTTTTAAACAACACGGCTTCCTTACTCCAAACCTGGAGTCTTTTCAGAGTCATTTGACAATTTATTGTATACACATTTATTATATTGTTAGACCTAAGCCTATTATTGTCACACAAATCTCATTTGTTTATTATAGTTAAATCAAAAATATATATCTTTTGACCAAACTATTCCATTGATTAAGGAAAGCAGTCACTCTACAATCCTACAGCTTTAACTTCAACATTAGCTTAGCCAACATGTGGAAAGTGCTGCTGTTCACATACACAGGCACTGAAGCTGCTGTTGTGCAAATTAAAGTCTGAAAAAAAACTATTACCATCCGTAGGAGCAATTATCCATGTGCCTCTACATTATGTTGCCTGCTGTGTGCCCTAAATAGTACCCAATCCAGTTGTTTTGACCGCGTGAATTAGCTTTAAAGAACCACTTCAGGTCAAATAATGCAGTTTTCCAGTTGCCGGTAAGGACTGCAGTGCCTTCATGGTGGCTGAAGTGTTACTGCATCAAAATGACTTATTTCCATTCATATGGGTCATATTTTAGAGATTACATCGCATAGGATAATCGCAAAAGAGATTTCGCTGTTCTATATATGAAATCCAAACCCAAATGACGTTAATTACAGCAAGGAAATTAAACAGGCCAAACACATGTAGCCTAAACAGTGGAAACAGTACTATAGTAGCATAGTAACGATCCTGGTTTTCCTGCCTGGTTACACCATAAACTGCAAACATTGCTCGGGTCACAACTATTTAATAAAAATAAATCTTGAAGCTCTCAAAGACATACTTTCATTGACATGAACTTATGTGTATTTGCGAGTTACGACTGTCTGATCCAGATAAAAGCAGTTATATACGTATACAAACGGGGAAATACAGCCTTAACATAAAGCGCGCAATCAGTTTCGGCTAATTGTTCAAATAATTTACAGGCTTTACATACGGAAAGAATCAGCATTTGCCTTCAATAGTTACTCGTTTGAAAATAACGATGCTAAAACAGTATAATACACCAGAGATAATATAGCCAACACATCGACTACATGTTACCTCTTCAATCGATGCTAAAGCTAACCATCCGAGTGTACGTTTGCCAACATGTTATTTGAGATTTCCAGCACGTTAAACGCAGCTAAGTTAGCCCGTCTATTCCTGTTCCAATCTACCATAGTGTTTAGTTACACCCAAATACAAATCTGTGCACGCTGGCCAAAAGCTGCAAGGATAACAGAAGCCAAAGAGAAAAAGTTTTCAGCTACGACAGTCCGGTAACACGTTAGATAACGCTAACCACGGGCCTGCACCGCTGTTGCTAACTTTCATTCATAGATAACTGCAACTGGCATTAGCTAGCAAACGCTAGGGTAAGTTAATAACTCACATATTTTGTGCTTTTTAATTAGCTGTAATTCCATTCAACGCGACTGCTTACCAACTGAAGAACCCGTAAACGGGAAGAACCGTTGCTGCACGCTGCGGCCTCAATTCACAGCAAGCTCGTTCACCAGCGAGGACACCACCGCTAGCCGAGCGTTAGCATGCCTGTAGCTATTTCACTCGCTAGCTTGTCTGCTAAAATATTTAGCTGCTATTTGTTACAAAAAAAACTCGTTCAGACATCACAACTGTCACTTCTGTAGCGTAAACCTACCCAGTGTATGTTCAGTGGATGCAGTTCCCGGGCAGTAAACGCCAAATGGCTGCGGTCCGAAATGGTGCGAAACCAAACAATCGCTGAATATGCTAACCGTTGACGTTAGCCAACGAACTGCTCCGCCATGATGGGTGAAGGTATCCCAACATGCCATGCTGCGCGGTTTGAATGGCGGCGTCACTGTCTCCTAGGCAACTGCATGCTCCATGGTAGCAAACGTAGCAAACCGTAGTAAATTTGGATTGTGTAACACGATCACCTGTTTTATTACGATGTATACCATCATATTTATCATTTCTCGTAGTGTACGATAGCCAAAAAAGCAGACAAAATTGCTATACATGTCACAAGATAAGATAAAACTTCATTTACCCTGAAGAAAATTCTCTTGATACACGATACATTACTGAAAATAAAATAAGTAAACTAAATTAAGACCAAAACAGAAAAGTGAAAAGTCATTTTGTCAATGATACTGAGATAATAAGTTATACATAGCATGAGTGTCATTCAGAATTCATCATGATTCAATACGTGCAAAAAGCTATTACTTCTTTCTTACCGTCAAGTTGCTGAAGACAGTTTTTGCCATCCACCTCTTCACTGTCCAGAGGCGGGTTAAAGAGGGTGTAATGGAAGTGGCGCCTTCCGGATATGTATTTCTGTGTCATTAGCACAACAGTGGAAGGATACTTTGTCGTTGTACTTCACACAGCAGGATAAAAAGCAACAAGGAAATGCACTTTTTAAAAAAATGAGTTATTTATATAATTTAAACAGAAATGAAATGGTCTTCAGTTATTTGAGGTGTTTGTGCTTTTATTTTGATAGTCTACGCCCGGATACTGTGACGGTATCGCAGCTGCTGTAACTTGACGGTCAGCAGTCAGAAAGTGAGAAACGTTACTGCAAGTTTGACTATAACTGCTCGGCGGAGGGCATGTGTTTACTTTAAAAAGCCTTCATCAGCTTAAAGACATGAAGAGGAGGTTCAACATCAACCTGGATGACTCTGCTTTCACCAAAGAAAGAACACCGGTCTGTGTTTTGTTAGAATTAAGCAGGCAGCTGTTTGGCTAGCTCAACGGCTAGCTTTCCAGCAGCTAGTAATTTCCTGTTTACATTTTAATAACAGCTTATCAACTTAGCAATGCAAAGTAGTGCTCAAGTTAGCGTGCTAAAATCACAAGTGTATGTTCAACACGATTTAATTTTGATTTTTTTTGTGTTTTGATGTGTTTGTATTCCAGCCAAAGCCCCAGTTCCAGTCTTCATCCAAAGGAGGAGAAAGCACCTCAGCAGCAGCAGCAGCAGCAGCAGCCTCTAAGCCTGTCACTGAGGCAGTGGGCCAGCCTTTGTCCTATGCAGAATATATCGTCCAGAGTAAAAGCAATGTGGCTGCTGCTCCACAGAGAGATGCTGCCTCCAGACTGCCCAGGACTGAAGGTGCTTCCAGTCTGAGGCAAAGTGAACCAGATCCAGTGTCCTCTGCTACAGCAGGAGGTGACACAGCTCAGGACTTCTTTGCTAAAGGGACAGAGGTTCAGTCTGACGAGGTTAACAAGAGCGAGGAGACGCAGGTGGCGGGCACAGACCTAAAAGAGGGGAGCTGTCAAAAGTCAGATCCCAGCCTCAGCCTGGGTCCTAAACCAGTGGGATCTGGGAGCAGCATTATTGTCAGTCCTCGGCAGGTATGCGTCAGACTATCACACAACCACAGGTTTCAAAGGAAAACCATGCATCCATCTGGTCATTCTCTGTGTGTACCTATTTCAATTCAGTGTCACATTCCAGTTTTGAGGGCTTTCTCATGGCAGATTAGCCTCTTATGTTGTTTCTTGAGCTTTAACTAGTTTGACTCCTGCACAATGGCAACATGTTTCTCATTTGTTTGTACTTTATCAGAGAGGAAATCCCATTCTGAAGTTCGTGAGGAGCGTCCCGTGGGAGTTTGGAGACGTTGTGCCAGATTATGTCTTGGGACAGACAACCTGTGCTCTCTTCCTCAGGTGGGTTCTAATACTTCATGAACTGCACATACAGAAGTACATAAATGTTTTCTTTTTTGCCATTATTTTTTCCCCTGTTTTCAGAACAGTGTGTTCTCCTGAGTGGCGATTGACTCTTTCCATGTTTTCATTCTCGTTTGTGTTTTGCTTTGCTGTTGGTTTTGGGCCTGGCACACAGTCTAAGGTATCACAACCTCAATCCAAACTATATCCATGACCGTCTGAAGCAGCTTGGCCAGACGTTCACCCTGCGGGTGCTACTGGTTCAAGTAGATGTGGTAAGTAAAAATGTTTGGTAACATTAGAGGGCATAGTTTGTTTGTTTGATTTTTTTAGATTTGTTTATGTATTAAATCAGATTAAACCGTGACCTTTCATTTATTTAACTCTGCTCTTGTATGGTGTCATACATACATTTCCTATGGTATGATAAAACTAGCACCTGATTGTGATATAAAGTCATGTTTATTTATAGTCAGTATATTATTGACATGGACTGCAAGGTGGAGCAGTGGTTAGTACTGTCACTTCGCGACTAGAAGGTCGCCAGTTCGCGTCCCGGTGAGGACGCCCGGGATCTTTCTGCGTGGAGTCTCCATGTTCTCCCCGTGCAGCGTGGGTTCGCTCGCTTCTTTTGTTTGTGCCTGGAATGAAGTGAGGCTTTCCAAAATCTCTTCCCGGTACAGCAATCACCGTCCTGCTGGTCACTTCACTTTAATGTAAATAGTTTGTTCTTTTGAGGTCATCTGGCTAATACTATGAGCAATAATATAGACTTTAGAGCAACTCAATGGCAAAATTAGGGACAAAAGCACTTCTACATTGTTGTGGGTTTGCTAGTTAACTGTAACAGCTCTCAGGTAGGTAATGACGGCTTTCATTGCAAAGTGCTGACAAGAATTGGAGCATAAGCAGTGTAATATTTAACAAAATGAAAGAGCATTTACAGAACACCAAGCTGTTAAAGGAAAGCTGTAAAGTTAGCATTCAGATCTATTCATTTGTGAAGTATGTCTTGACTCAGCTGAATTAGTTTGGCTAACAGTGGTGCAACTGAAGTGTGAAGTGTGCAGCTGGAGACTATTTTTGGCTCCGTGTGTAGGAACAAAATAGATTTAACAGCTGACAAAAACTAGATCTTGTGTGGAAAAGAGTCAGAAAAAATAATGTAGGACATCTCCACTTGCAAAACATTTCTAATCCTAAATTCCTCTTTTTTTAATATAAATCCTTAAGAATGAATGTCTGTCTGACATTGTTTCTTCGCCAACAGAAAGATCCTCATCATGCGTTAAAGGAACTGGCTCGCATCTGCATCATGGCTGACTGCACCCTCATCTTGGCTTGGAGGTAAGACCTGCAACAGATGATATGAAACGTAAAGGAGTGTACTGGGAAATGGTTTTAGGTGTTTTCATTTTTGATGATGTGCTCATGATTCTGGCCTTACCGCCAAAAAAGTGTGTAATCGGATGAGAAAGTCAGACATTTCTGTTTTTGGCATGTGTTACATAACGCATCTCTGTGTTTGTAATGGCTGCGTGTCTTTGATAGCTGTTTTATATTCTGATGTTTTTTTCTTTGGCGAGGATCAGCAGATGGAAATTAGCCTTTTGAGCCTCACTCAAGCATATTTTCTCTTTTTTTGTTTTTCTTTCTTTCATGTTGAATTGGCAGTCCAGAAGAGGCAGGACGTTATCTGGAAACATACAAGTCATATGAAAAGAAACCAGCGGACCTCCTGAAGGAACAAGTCGAAAAGAACTATCTGTCAAAGGTGTGTATTATAGAAGCGCTGAACTGCCACTCCTCAAAGAAAAAAACAGATCAGTATCTCGTTCTAACGTAAAAAGTTTCACGTTGTAACGAGATGCGTTTTTATAGCGTTATAACGTGATAAGGTTTCACGTTGGTCTCGGCAGTTGTGAACTGGCACTTGGCCGTTGCAGTGGCAGCTGGCGACACCATGGCAGCCCTGAGCGATGCCCCACTGTTGAAGTGTCTACAAAATCGTCGTGTACCAGCAGAGTGCCTCTCTCGTATGGAATCTCACCATGTCTCAACCCAAGAAGCATGAAGTAGAATTTAATCAAATCGTGTAAATGAGCCATATTCCTCCGTTTACTCGTGCTCCGCCCGCCGTTTTCTCAAACGTGATATGATTTCATGTTATAACGAGATAAATGTTATGTCGTTATAATGTGAAACGAATCTCATAACGAGATAAAAACGTATCTCGTTATATGAGAAACTTTTCACGTTTTTTTTATTAAAGGTTTAAAAGTTTGCTACTGGTTATTATGGCCTAATTTTGCCAAATTGAAAACTCCGGTAGACTTTATAAATCACTAGGAATGTCATCATAAAATTGTCAGATTGCCGTCGGGAGTCTTGCAGCATCTTTCAGTGTTTAAACATTGCAATGCTGATTCTATTTCTGTGCTTGCTTTAAGGTTACAGATTGCCTGACCACTGTGAAGTCTATAAATAAAACTGATGCCATTACCTTGCTATCGACTTTCTCGGTGAGTACCAGTGAACAAAAAACAGTATTTCCACTCCATTAGCTGCAGTGTGCTGCAAGTATTACTTTAATCAGATTGATGGCATTCTGCAACTGGTGTATATGCACACACACACACACACACACACACACACACACACACTCACACACACTCACACACACATGCAGAGATTTGATCGTATCCTCTGAATAAACTTTTTGACACTACTTTTTTATTTTTTTTGGTGATGTTCTCAAAGGGAGTGATGCAGTCAGTACGTACAGACAATATATTTTGTTTTTTTATGTTCTACAGTCAGTAGAAGGAATCATCAGCGCCTCTAAAGAAGACCTGGTTCTCTGCCCGGGCCTCGGACCACAAAAAGTGAGGGGAAACTACATGAGCAGGATTCTGATACACAGAGCGCAGATGAAACATTTGCAGACTTACTATGTTGACATTTTTGCTTCCAGGCGAGACGACTCTATGACGTGCTCCACAAGCCCTTTCTCAAGTCGAAGACGAAAGACAGCTGAGACGTCTCGCCAAGGATGTCTGACGTGCTTCCAAAAATAATTCTGTAAAGCTGGTCATCGTGATGAACAGGGTGCAAACACACACACTGAAGAGGACTGAATTTATATGCCAAACACTCTTGATTTACTGAGATGATGAAAAAAAAAAAATGTATAAAGCCTTTTTTTTTTTTGTATTGTCCCAGACTGAGAATCAGTTTAGGGTACTTGTGAGGATGTAAAATGTGAACTGTATTAGCTGCACACTGATTTAATGTGTTTGTGTGTGTGTGTTTTTTAAAGATATTATTTGTTCTTTGTTGAGTTCTCTCTCTTTTTTCAACAAAAATAAATATTTTGTGATATTTTTGTACTGTCTAATATACCTTATTGTCCCAGCACAAAACAACCAGGAAGTGTCAAAATGAAATCTCATTCATTTAAAGAAACAAGGAGACATTACAACACTAAGCTTTTTGATGAGACAGAGGGAAGGTGGGTGGATGCCATATTTTGGGTTGACAGTAATCTGACGAGTATGTGACGGATTATTTCTGATCCGCTTTAGGTACACATTTGTATTCGAGTACATTTGTAGTAAGAGCAGCAAGATTACTCTAAAGAAAGAGTCATGCTATTTTCTTCTTCTTCTGAATAACCTCACTCATGTGCTTATTATCTGTGGATCTCCTTGTTGAAAGAGGAGGTTATCAGATATTACAAAGCAAAACGTTTTGTTCCCATTCAGTTCATTTTACCTTAGTGCTGCATTTAAGTGCTCTCTGAGGTTCCCTCTTTCTGGGGCTTTGTAATAAGCTGCAAATTAGGCTGTAGTAACATAGAGGATCTGGCAACAGGAGGAGGAAAATGGGTCAAATGCACAGCTCTGATGTCACATTGATGCAAAGTAAATGAATGTGTAAAAAAAATACAAATATGCAGAATGTTTAGTATTCTGTTCATATTGCAGTACAATTGAGGCCAGAGGATTTTGATAACATGATCTGTGAAAAGCACACAGAACCTTATGTTGTCTGGGCTGGGAATTTATGATGGGTTTACAGTTCAATTTTTTTTTTTAAATTGAGGAATGTATAATATACAAACATTCAGGCAAACAGTAGTAAAACATACCGATGAAATATAAATGACAAATTAGAATGGAGAACATAAAAATACTATAAGACAAATGGATAAAGACATATAGAAATACTAACAAACACATTTCAGGCTAAAACGGCTCATAGCTTTTTAAAGGTTATTACTTTATTGGTTGTTTAAAAAAATTGATGGTTTAAGTAGACTTGAATTATTGGAGAAAATGCCAAATGTTATATAAATGAGATATTCAAGTGTACCAGTATCAAGATTGTTATATTAACCAATAATAGGCTTATCATTAGTTAAAAACTTCAAAATCTATCTTAACTTTTGAGATATTTCACATTCAAAAAAATAGGTAAATTTTTTTCCATATCATGTTTATATAAAGTGAAGATTTTTTTTTTTGTAAAATTAGTAGTAAGAGTTGGTCAATGAGAGTTTTATGTACAATTGTGAATTTTATTTCTTAAACCTTGTATTGAAATACAACATTTCTAAAGTAAAACCCAAGCCCTTCTCCATTCTTTGTTTTCAGCCTTGAACCTGCAGAAAAAAACCTGCCTCCCAGAACAGTTTTAGTCCGTCTTTTGGAAATTGAGATTTTTCCGACAGCCCGTGAAGTAAACAGCAAAGCAAACTGACGTAAAATCAGGAAGTGCTTGTGACACACACACATGCACACATACACACCAGCTGAAGTGTGTGTGTTTTGCCGCTCGTTTCACTCTGGTACACACAGTGTTCTCAAACTTACAGAGTCCTTTTGTGAAAACACTCAACTTGTTTGTTAGAGGAGGACAAAGAGCGGACGCGTCCAAACGGCCGCTTCCCAAACATGCAGGCGGAGAAAGAAGAGGAGGACGAAGCATCTCCTGAGCAGTACGTCGCCCTGTCACACTTCACTGGAGGTGGCAGCGACCAGGTCAGAGAGCCGCGCACTCCTCTCATTACTCCCTATCTCACCGCCAAGTGTCGGGTAATTATCCCTGACTGCGTCTCCTTTTGTGCTGCAGCTCAGCTTCAGCTCAGGAGACACGCTGCTCGTCCACTCCAAGCCCTCCCCGGAGTGGTGGTGGGCAGACCTGCGGGGGGTCGTGGGCTACGTCCCTGCCAGCTACCTGCGCCTGGTCACCGCCGAGGAGGAGGAGGATCAGGAGGAGGAGGACGCCTCCTTGGAGGACCCATGGCAGGATGAGGAGTACTTCGGCAGCTATGGGACACTGGTTTGAGACTTCAAGTTGCTGACACTTTAAATACATCCTCACTGGGTTGACTGATCAGAAATACTCCTCTAGAGGCTTGGACCTTATTCTGTCAGATCCCCTCCAGTGAAAATCAAGTTCCTTTGTTTAAATGTCAATATTGTGCAAAATAAGCAGTCAGTCAGTAGAGTTTTGGAGCTGCACAGTCTTAAAAACACAGACTTCTGGGGTTTTGCATGTAAAAAACCACAAAGGAACCAATCTGCTGTGTCATCACTTTACTTTAGTTTTGCTTCCAATTCAAACATACACAGTAGCCCTCAGATTTATTCACACCCTTCCATTCCCTTCCACACAATAGTCAGTCAAATCACTAGGAACTGAAAAAAGTAGTAATAAATAAAAATTTGCTAAATTCTAATTTAGCGAAATAAGACGTTCCTTTTGACTTGTGGTTGAAAAGAATAATTTTAAAAAACAAACAAAACTGTCCCGGACAAATTAGAGCACTTTGCTGATGAGCATCGAAGTCCAAACACCTGTCAACAGGTGCAGAAGTCTGACTGAGAGTTACAGAAAACACCTGATTGCAGTGATTGGCTCAAAGGGTTCAACAAAATATTAGTTTACAGGTCCCATCATGCTTGTTTACTTGGTTTTTTTTCCCAATTATTTTTGTATAATTTTCTGTTGATCCACAATTCAACATTTTTCTTTATTGTTACTTTTGTCAATTTCATCTTATTTCAGTGGCAGCTGTTTTTTTTCCTTCCTTAACGACAGGGTATGAATACATTTGAGGACGACTGTACCTCTAAATTACTCCCAATATGACTACTTGTCATTGTGTAGCATGGAGTAGTTTTTTTTTTAGAAGTTTTTCAGTTTTTGAGCAGAGATGCAGGTGAGCTGGTGTGCTTCAGCTGCAGCGAATGGGGAGGAATAGCTTGATTAAAAGGCAGGGAATTCATTGATCTGCACAGGAAACAGCAGTGTTGAGTTGCATCTAAGCTATTTTAAGGCACGAAGGGATGATTTAATGAAAAAATGTTCAAACGCAAAAGGTAAATACTCTATATCGTGCTGTATGAGTTTACACAGATTTGCAGCCCTCCAGACACCCATGCATTTCAGATCAAACTTATATTAATCAACATGGAGACCTTAAGTTATGTAATTCATCACGATCACCATCATCTTTTGTTGAAGCCATCCCCGTAGTGTAGCAGCTTTAAGCTACTGTTCCTTGGTGGTGCATTACAGAGAGCTGCAGAGATGCATAACATTCATTAGAAATATGAGGAAACCAATCCCAGAGTAGACGCATGCTGTAAGAAGACTGACTTTTAAACATTTCCCTGTCAATCTGCCACCCAAGAAGAACACAGACACTGCTCTGTTGTGCAAATTAATAGATTTTTGGATCCAATTACTTGTTACCTTATAAACATCTACTCTTTCTTGAGGCAAAAAAATAATACCGTCAGAGATTGTGGAAAGACTACGGAGCCCAAAAGTGTCAAACAATCCAGAAATAATGCATTTTTATTCCAGTTCCAACAGCTGTTATTTATGTATGTTTTGATTTTACATTAGCTGCAGTTATATGGACACTTTTTCTTCAACCTGATAGAAATCAAACACCAGACATTCTAGTTTAATTTTACGTTGTTTTCACGCCTGAAAGCATTTATTCAGAATATAGCTTTTTTTTGACAAGTGCTAATTGACTGTACCCTCTTCAAAGCATCAGAAGAATTTTTATTCTAGCTTTAATTTATTTATTTTTGTTATCAACTCTATCGAAAACATGTATTCATTAGTAGAAAATGCCAAAGACGGATCCACATCGCGTCCTAGGAGCAATTTTTGCTCTTTCCCTTTAATTAAGCAGCAATCTTAGCAGCACATAAGTTGTTCTCACAAAGTTCATCAATTAGGAGTGAAATGTGCTGCAAATATATGCAAAAAGACTGTGTTTATTCCAGTCAGGAAGAAATGATCGGATTAAGCGTTCACACAGTTATTAGGTGCTCTCAAATAGATCCATTCAGTCAGGGCAACCTTTTTATTCTGGTTGAGCTATTCCCATTATTCTGATTATTTGTGGAATATTAGGGTCCATGTAAACACAGCTATTTTCATTTCATATAATTACCCATTTATTTCATAATGCCACTTTTAATCGTCTTTGTCTGCCAGTCAACACAATCAGGGCCCTGTTATGTGGCTGCTGTGGTTTGGTCTAAATGAGCTGCCGCAGTACAATTTAAAACCATTTTTAGATTATTTCATAATGTCATTGTTAAATATTTTGTGTGTAATTAAATGTAATATCATCAGTGGTATATATTTTTTTAAATATACAAAAACTAGGGTGTAACTCCACATACAAAACTGCTAATAACACTAATACCATTTTTTCCCACCTTGTGTCTCATGATACAGAGGCTTCACCTGGAGATGCTGTCAGACAAGAGTCGCACCGAGACGTACCGGCAGGTTATTCTCAGCAACAGCGCTTCTCTGAGGGATAAGGTGGTGATGGACCTCGGCTGCGGGACCGGCATCATCAGCTTGTTCTGCGCTCAGCTGGCACAACCCTCAGTGGTAACTGTTCACAGTGTGGCTGGTGTGGAAGTCACTAAAACACATGACGCACATAGGTTGCTGGTCAGGTGTGCTGCAGTGTGTAAACTTCTAGGACAGCTGGAGAGACTTTAGTCATACATGTGAGAGGAAGTCACCTGTTTGTTTGTTGAAGATTATTAGATAATAAAAACGCAGGAAGTCAGCTAGAATTCCTATCTTGGTCATATTTTACCACACTGTATTTGTTAAATTACATCACAAATCGAAAATGAATTTGCAAATATCATATAAATGTACATAAATCAACCAATTTCTTAAAAAAAAATCACAAATTGTATTCTAAGCTTCCAAATATTTCAAATGGAAAGAAAATCCCACAAAAAACGCTGTAGGAAATCCAGAGAAATATGCTTGTTCAGAGGAGCTAAGTCACTGTTTAACACACAAAACTACTCAGTTTAGGTACAGTCGTCCTCGAATGTATTCATACCCTCCCATTAACGAAGGAAAAAACAGCTGTCAAATAAGAAATAAGTTGAAATTGACAAAAGTAATAATAAATAAAAATTGAATGAACATCATGACATTGCTTTTGAATTATAGTTCAACAGAAATATATATAATAAAATTAAATTAAATTAAAAAAAAAACAAGCATGATGGGACCCGTAAACTAATACTTTGTTGAACAACCCTTTGAGCCAATCACTGCAGTCAAGTATTTTCTGTAACTCTCAGTCAGACTTCTGCACCTGTTGACAGGTATTTTGATTTCACTGCTCATCAGCAAAGTGCTCTAATTTGTCCGGGACAGTTTTGTTTGTTTTTTTAAATGATTCTTTTCCACCAAAATCCAAAAGAAATGTCTTATTTCACTAAATTATAATTTAGCAAGTTTTTATTTATTATTACTTTTTTCAGTTTCTCGTTATTTGAGTGACTATTGTGAGTTTTGCCTTTTCTTTAATGGAGGGGGATGAATACATTTGAGGACGACTGTATATTGTTTGTTGAACATTTGTGTACGTATTCTGCCATCTGCTGGACAAGGAGTGTTACTGCAGCCATGTGTGTCGTCTGTCTGTGGTGTTGTAGGTGTATGCCGTGGAGGCCAGCTCCATGGCAGGGTACACCAGACAGCTGGTGAAGCAGAACAGCTGTGAGGAGGTGGTCACGGTGCTCCAGGGGCGAGCTGAGGAGATCGAGCTGCCGGAGCAGGTGGACGTCCTGGTGTCCGAGTGGATGGGTAACTGCCTCCTGGTAACAAACACACTTCTGATTATTGCTTTTGCTCATATTAATTATTGTGTGGAGATTTTTTTTTCTGCTTTTGATACTTTTTTTATTCACATTATTACCTCTTTAACGGATCCTATCATGCTCTTCCACAACTGAGCCGTTCAGGTTTGAATGCGTCACTTTGTGTTTTCTCGTCCCTTCCCCCTGATCTAGTTTGAGTTCATGGTGGAGTCAGTTCTGCAGGCCAGGGACCGCTGGCTCAGAGATGGCGGCGTGATGTGGCCTTCCTCTGCAGCCCTCACCCTGGTGCCATGTCAAGCCGACAGCTATTATACAGAGAAGATGGCCTTCTGGGAACGGCCCTATGGCCTAGACTTCACCCCTCTTCAGTAAGAGCCATTAGTCAGCAGCAGACAGTGAACAATATCCTGTCTCGCTTGTACTTTTCGTACTTACTCTATTTTTGCTAAATGTTAAAGATCCTGAACTTAGATACGCAGTTCGGACATTTAGTACGATGAAATGTGGTGCAGGTGGATGCCAGGTGGTGAAGCTGTTTTCGTGTCATTTCACGTTCGCTCAGATGGCACGAATACGTGACAGCCACAAATATGGCAACCGGTTAGATGAAACAGATATTTAACCTGACGTACCACTCAGACTAGCTACGTGTCACACCAACTGTAAGAAACAGACTTGTGTGTACGTCAGTTACAAAAGTGCTTCATTTCACAATAATTCTTTGTATGTAGATTAGATTAGATTAGATTAGATTAGATTGCACTTTGTTTTTCACCACCAATGGGGGAAGCTCACATTGTTGCAGCAGTCTAGATATAGGAAAGAGCACAAAAAAAGTGACAGGAAGAAAAGAGAACAAATAGACTACAAATAAGAAGAACTGAGAAATGCAATACAATAGAGCTAAACACACACACACACACTATATACACACTATAGATCCATATAATGGATACTATGAATTAAAAAATAAAAAAGATAAATAGAATAAAATAAAATAGGATACAATATGATAATTATTTCGCCAGTTCTCATTGCGGTGAGGACACCGTTCTCCCCCCGTGCAGCGTGGGTTCTCTCCGGGTTCTCCGGCTTCCTCCCACACAGTCCAAAATCATGTTGAGGTTAATTCGTGATTCTAAATTGTCCGTAGGTGTGAATGTGAGTGTGCTTCTGTCTCTAAGTGTGGCCCCGCGATAGACTGGCGACCTGTCCAGGGTGTCCTCTGCCTTCGCCCTAAGTCGGCTAGGATAGGCTCCAGCCCCCCCGCGACCCTAGTGAGGGTTAAGCGGTGTATAGATAATGGATGGATGGATGGATGATAATTATTGCACATAGGGGACATATATTGCACACAGTAAGGGGTATATTGCACATGAGAAAACCTGGCTATAATATTGTATATTATACAAAGATGCAGTATGGAGAGAAGAACTACATGTTGTAGATTCTGACAGCGGTTTGGATGAAGGACCTGCTGTAGCGTCCTTTCTTACACTGTGGCTGTATCAGTCTGCTGCTGAAGGAGCTGCTCAGAGCTGCACAGTGTCGTGCAGGGGGTGAGAGGTGTTGTCCATGATGGATGTCAGCTTGGCTAACATCCTCCTCTCACCCACCTCCACCTCTGACCCTTCATGCCATGATTCAGTACTGTATTAATGTAAATACACTAGTAGTTAGCTGCATATACTTCACATACGCACTTCTTTATTTCAAACATAGATCCCTCATTTGCATGCTGCAACTGTGTTTTCAGAAGAGAGACAGTGTGACTGATCCACCTGCACCTCAGACAGTGCCTTTGTATTTCTGTAAAGTTCCTTTTCGACAATCACTCTTTTACATCAATCTAATCTTTAGTCTTTCTCAGAAACGTCACCTGTTGCCTGTCCTTATCAGCCTCCAGGAAACCACCAAGATTGCACCAGCTGATAAGTACAGATGATGTTTCTGAGGAAGTGGGAAGTGACAGTCGAAATATGTCAAAAAACAGCTCCTTTCTAAAAAAACAAAAAACAAAAACTCATTGTCTGACAAGAAAAGAAACCTTATACCTAAAATCAGAGTTGACAAAATGAACCTAGTCATGCTACAAATTAAGTTTCCTAAATATCAGCATCCTGGTTACTGTTTATGTGAAATTACCAGTATTTAGTTGTTTTTTTTTTTTTGCTGCCCATCAGAACCACTCAGCCACTTGTTTCTGAGTATGCTCAGTTGCAAATGAACTCTGGTTTTGTAAAGTGCCCCGCTGACCACTCTGTGAGATTCTTCATCACTACTAATGGAAAACAAGAGTGACAGTGCAGTTAGGGAAGTGCATTGCACACGTCTGACAGTCCCCTTTTTTATTATCTTGATCATTATTCATCATAAGATTTCATTTTGCTGGCTAACTACAATGTAATCTGAGTTGAAAATGTGCTTGTAGACTTGACCTGGAACTTGGAAAAGTCATTTCTGTGCCCCACTATCCTGTTTTTTTGGGGTTTTTTTTTGCCAGAGTACTCCTAAGACGCTCAGGCTTTTTTTTTTTAACCAGATGCATAACTGTGTCATGCACACGTAAACACACTGATTGTCTTGATTGGAGTTGTTGTAATAAAGTTGTTATGAAGTTGCTGGGATGCAACAAAAGGCTTAATAATATGGTTCACAGGTACAGATACCAGATGTCTGAATAGAGAACCTGAACATTATATTATCAGTAAGAAGACATGATGAACGTTTTTGAGCTAGATACCAGATTTGATTTCTGGATGAACTAATACAGATGCTTGGATTATGAACTTCTTAAAACCTGTGCTCACATCTACTTTCCAAACACAGGAAAACTGAATTCTTTAAAAGTAAATGGCCTCAGAGAAAGAGAGAACATTTAAGATGTTGCTATTTTACCCACTTGAAGTCTGTATTAGTCAGTAGTCCATATTTAGGTAGCCTATTGTGGCCACTAGTAACAATTACATACAGAGAACATTACAAATTATGTTGTTAAAGTTATTGTCACACTTACAGAAACCCTACAGCTGTGTGTCCAATGAGCTACTTTCCCCTATTGAGTCATGTTATAGATATTACCTGTGGCAGCAAACTAATTACCCCACGGTGTTGAGTAATGATTAATCTCTGCAGACCTTTGGCACAGCAGGAGTTCTTCACCAAGCCCAAGTTCAGCCACCTCATTGAGCCCGACGACTGCCTCGCTGCCCCCTGTGACGTCATCTGCCTGGACATGAACACGTTGCAAGTGACAGACCTGGAGGTACTGTGTAAGTTTCATTATTAGAAAAGTGCTGCCACTCCTACAAGTTCCATTTGTTTCTGACGACACGCTGTTTCATTTCTCAGGAAATAAAGGGTCAGTTTCACTTTTGTGTGGAAAAATCCGGTGTTTTCCATGGATTCACCGCCTGGTTCACCGTCCACTTTGAGAGCCTGGAAGCAGGAGGCGCAACAGTGGAGCTGAACACCGGACCCAACTCTCAGTAAACGAAACATCTTCAGCACTGTTAACGAGACACATATTGCACTGATATTAACTAGACGCGTTTCTCCTCAGGCCAACACACTGGAAACAGACTCTGTTCATGCTGGACAGGCCGGTCAGTGTATACGCTGGAGACTCCATCAGTGGAAGCATTGTCCTGCACAGAAACCCTGTCTGGAGACGCCACATGACCGTTACCCTGCAGTGGAGCATTAACAGCAGCACAGAGGATACAGAGAACTGCCAGGCAAACCGCTTCATGTCACTTTATACTATTCATTTGAGTGATTACGTCCACAAGGCGGTGATAGATTATTTTATTTATAGCTTTGTGGTTACATTTGTTCATGCTAGATGATGCAGTTACACACATTAGCCTTCCAAAAGTCCAGACTTGGCTTTAAAGCAGTGTCCAAAGAGTTGTAAACTTGCTTCTTTCTCTGTCCTTAGGTTGGAACAAAGAGTTTCCCCATGTGGAGGTGACATAACCTCACCTGTCGTCGGTGGAGAGCCACAGACAACCAGCCTCGTCTGTTCCGCTGTGAGCTGCTGCTGCTGCCGCCCTGGAAATAAAGTTGCCATCAATGTGACAGTGAAAGGAGGGTCATCTGGCAGGACATGTAGGCCGCTAGTGATAAGTGTGATCGCTACAGGCCCACATGATGCAGCACATTAAGAGCCATGCTGTGAGAGCAGGTTCACAGAGACAAACGGGCCTGCTGAGGATGAACTGTGGAGCTTCACTAAACGGAATTAGTGGGAAAACATCAGTGTTGTGCAGGAGAGGGTTGACAACTGTAACACCGGACTGTTCACTGAGAAATGCTTCAGGCCACCACACTATGTTTTTATGTCCGTTTTACTTATTGTCCTACAATAAGCATTTACGTTGTAATTTGTGCATACGTGCCGCCGGGCTTGTATGGATTTCAGAAAGCAACAGAATCAAGTGAACAATGTATTTCACTCACATTATTACGAATGTTCATTTGACTTTTGTGTTAAAATTTGCATTAAAAACACAACAGCTCAATGCTCACAAAGACAATTTGTCACAATTAAATTATTCTAAATAAAATAACTGTACAATTAGGTTGTAGATGAAAATCAAACGACAGTATTTTAGGAGTTATTCAACTACTAATTTGCTCTTTGTCCCTTTTTTGAATTTGTAAACATGGAACTTTTTATTTGATCCGTCAGAAACAGGTGAGAGTTTCTCATCCTGTTTGTATTTGCGGTGGCAGAACTGCTGGGACACATTTCTTGAGTAAAGTTCATCTTTGTCTCGGCGGATAGTCTCCACTTGGTCACGGCTCTGTCTTACTCTTTGCTTTTGCTCTGGAGCGCGTGTTGACCTCTGAGGATAAGGGCCCAGCGGGTGAGGACTCAGGAGTAGGAGGCCTGGAGAGCGGGACAAACAGAGGAGGTTTCACCACTTTATCGTTACCCTCCTTGTTTTTCTCCTTTTTCTGCCTTAAGTGTTTGTCACAGTGGTTCACAAATGTGTCCAGCTTGACAAAGGTCTTGTTGCACACTTTGCAGTGATACGGTCGCTGTCCTTTGTTGAGGCGTATGTGCAGCCTGATGTATGAAGATCGGACAAAGGTGCGGCAGCAGACTCCACACTTGAGATCCTCTGCGTTACTTTGTGTCTTGTGAGGCTGGTTGAGTGGCGGTGTGGACGCTGGTTTGGTGTGTCCGTTGGCCTCCTGAGCCTTGTGAGACAGCAGGAGCGACAACGAGCGGAAGCCCTCACCGCACTGCTCACACTTGTACGGCCTCTCCCCGGTGTGGAGGCGAACATGTGCCAGGAGCCCAGCCTTCTGGGTGAACGACTTGTCGCAGTAGGTGCACTTGAAGGGCTTCTCGCCCGTGTGGAGCCGGCGGTGGGTCTTCAGATGGGAGGCTCTGCCGAAGGTCTTCCCACAATCTGGGCATTTGAAGGGCCTGTCCCCGCTGTGGATTATCTTGTGTGCCATCAGGTGGGAGGACTGATGGAAGTACTTGCCACAGGTGCTGCATCTGAACTTCCTCTCCTTGTTGTGCGAGGCCAGGTGGAGGGTCAGGTGGGCGGAGGAGATGAAGGTCTTGGTGCACAGGCTGCAGCTGTGGGGGTCCAGGCGGATGCGCCGGTGTGGCCGCCGGCCGTTGGTGGGGCTGCTGCCCGCCTGGCACGATGGGCATTTGGAGTTTCCCTCTGTTTGGGGCTGTTTGGGAGCGTCGCTGGACTCGGGGTCGGAGTCAGACTGCGGAAGGCTGAAAGTGCAGCCACAGTCTGAGCAGTGACCAGACTGGGGCTGCTCGTCATCACTGCTTTTGTCCAGCATGGCAGCTACAGCTGGAGGGGGAGGGTCCTCACTGTGTGACAGAGGAGGGGGACATCTGAGAGAGAAATAAACACATCATGTATGTGAGGCTATGCAGCTTCTAGGATAGACATGCATTATATAAAGCCATTACATGCCCTCCTCTGTGTCTTAGCCACATTCCTGTGAAGACAGAGCCTGAGCAGCACGTTACCTTTTATTACTTCCTGGTTAGTGGAGACGCGTTGTATCTGTCATGATCGTGTTGGATCTGCTCGTTTTACGCGGGACAAACATGCAATGTACATAAAAATCCAAATAGCAGAGAGCTGACTAGCAGCCTGTCTAATGTTGTGTAGGCCCTGCTCCGGCGTCAACAATGCGAAGGCGACGTGAGAACGCGAGCAATGGCGCATAAACAAAGACTTCACATACCGTGGTCCTCCTTCCTAATCAAACGTATTTAAGTAATTACAACACAAGTGCAGTGTAACACCATAGCGGCAGACTGAAAACAACACCGGACGATGGTCGGATCGCATTTCATCGTCTGCGTTTTCCTGCGAGAAGCTGCTCGGTTCAGGGATGAATCGGGGCTGCAGCATCATCTAGCGAGCGGCGGCGCAACTGTCCCGAGCGGCACCGCAGGCTGGTTCAGGCCAAGAGCGGGACGCACGGGAGGGAAAGTGCAGTTAAACCGGTTACATCGATTAACTGTCATTGCTCAGAAAGTTTCATTTCACCGAAGAGGTCAGAGGAAAGTCAAGCTGCGATAAGTTTCGTTTCTTACAAGACGCGACTTCATTTCGGTGGAAATCGAAAGGATGCGACTGGAAGTGACGCGCGGGGTTCGGATTGGACGCGAGCAGCTTTTATATCAGAGCATCGATGCTGCTTCGCCACTTTCTGAGGAGTTGATGGCACCCTTCACCAACATGACTGAGGTACTGTGGACTTTTACTCCTTATTTATTTATTTATGGGCATGTCAGAGTCAACTTATGGGAATTATTCAATGATTTTAAAAAAGAATCAGAGGAACAACAACTAAAAAAAAAAATCAACAATTTCAGAATGTAACTTTTTTTGGTATGATTTTCTTCTGCCTCTTTGTTTTTATTAGTTGCTGTTTGTTATTTTGCGTGTTTACTTCTGTGTTTATTTGTATGTTCTGGTGTAACTTAATTCCTGGGTGCAGCCTCACTCATCCACCACAGAGGGCTTTCAGGAACTGAAGCAGTAACACTGCTGTAGCTGCTTCTTCCCTCTCCATGACAGCCTCAGATGAGGCAGCAAAATCATATTCACACTCTGCTGTCAGCATTTCAGTTCACTAAGTTACTAAAAGGATGTTATGCTTTTAATATCCTGCTGTATCATGCAGTGAAGTGTTACTCAGTGAATTTATCTGGATACTTTAGTAAATAAAAGTTATTGATCTCTTTTGTGTTTCATGCTCAGGTCTTTTTTTAAACCCTTAATTTTGTTCCATGCAAGTCAGAAACAGGCCTTCATCCATCCAGCTGCTCTATAAACAGTTCAGTCATGACGTAAATGTTCATTTCACCACAAACGCCTGTATTTTATTAGTTCTGTGTCTATTTTCCATGCTTGTCAAGATAAACTGATTCTCCTCAAACAACTTCAGTTTGACCTGTTTTGTACTCGAATTTCTTTGTGAAGCAAAGATTTCTAGATTTCTAGGAAACTGGGGTTTCCTAGAAATCCACAGCTGGATTGGTGTATCTACGGCCTGCATCAGGCGCTAAACAAGCTTTTGATATCATTATAATATCTTCGGTGATGTGCGTAATCATTGTCAGTTAGACAATCAGAGCGGTTAGACTGAGGTTTGGTTTTTCTTCCATTGCTGTTCTACCTGTTTTTCCTCTGTGGTTCGGCCTGCGCTGCCTGAACGTTAGCTGGTAGTAGTTAAATAGTCAAGTCAGCTTTGTTTGACTAAGAGGCAGGTTCTACGGCACGATGATGTTCTGTTAAACACACAGTTGAACCGATGGGTGACAAATTAAAGGAAAAACATGGACTCCTGCAGTGATTAGATACGGAGGCCCTGTTATGCTGTGCAGCTCATTTTGCTGGCAAGATCTGACTCCACCCTTTACAGTTAAGAAATGCAAATCCCTGTAAAGTTGTTTTTAGTGGCTGCCTTTATCCTATGATGAAACCCTTATATCTGATGGGAGTGTTCTCTCCCAGGATGAAAGTCCGCACATCAATAGTGGCACGAGGGGTCACTGAATGGTTTCTGAATCAGTGCCAAGGTACATTGAAGCTGCTCTGGCAGCACCGGGTGGCCTTACTCAGACACTCTATGGAGGCTTTACCTTTAATTTGTCATCCAACTGTATATATACTTAAATGTGTCCATATTTCAGGTGTATGTCAGTTGACACGTTTGTTAATTGTTCACATTTTGTATGTGTTGCTAACTCCTCCCTTATCCAGGCAGGTGGTAGGTTTCATGCAGGTGAGGCTGATGAGACATGAGGTCAGTTACTGAGTAGAGGGAGAGATCAGCTTGTTGTAAGGCTCATGTTTGTTTGTCTGTTTTATTTAGTTTTGTATTAGTTTCTCTTGAGCCTTAAGTTATTTTAGTTGAATATTTTAGTTTTCTGGTTTTTGTTGTTGTTTGTTTCATTCATTTCTTTTGTCCCACCAACACCTGTCTGGAGACTTGTTTCTTTAACATCCATTATAAATAAATCTGGTGCGAAAATCTCGCCCTCAAACGGGGTCAAAGCGTGACACAAATATTCAGCCATATTATCCATAATGTGTTTTGCAGTTGAAGCGATCGTGCCTTCAGCTTTGTGTGAGCTTACAATTATTGCCAGCAGCTGATTTCATGTGAGTTTGGTCAGCAATAGGCTTTGTCACAACATTCTGCCTCTCTTACAGCAACCGACCCAGGAAGGATGAGTCCGAAGACAAAGAAAAAAGCCCGGTCAGTTGCATTTCTTCCTGTTTTTGCTTTTATGAGCTGACTCATTTACAGAAAGAGGCAAACTTTAATTTTGAGGGCATGAAGAAACATGCAGTGAAGCAACAGCTGATTACCTGACACTGATTTCTTCAGAGACTTCTGAAATCATGCTAACCTGTTACTTAGACTGCTGTGTTTACATATGAGGTGTGTCACAAAAAGAGACATTTCAAATCCAAACTGCAAACTACAAGTTTTCCCCTCCAAAGTAATCCCCCTGGAGTGTTTCCCAGCTACGATTAAACTACGAGAATAACCGTGACCTGGATGACTGAGAATCTTCAGACATACCACAAATGCTGATGTTTTGCCCTCTTTTTTTGAGGAAAGGGCAACTGGAAGTGTGTATTTTTTCAACCCTGCTAAGAAACACAAATCATCTTTCACAAAGCCACATTGTTATGTATGCTTGCTGTTCACCGTGTCATCACCAAATCATAAGAATTTTCAGTGGAAATTGGCACAATGAGACAAACAGACAATGACTGGACAGATTTCTTGTGTTTTTTGTGGCTCATCTGGCCTTAAGGTCCAACTATAGGATCATTACTGCATCGAAAATCAATGTATGTTTAAATTATTGCATGAGTGCAAATGAAATTTGTCAATTTTAAAGCCACAAAGATGTCTCTTATCATGCACTGGTATCATGTTGATAGCAATGATAGGGGAGTTTAGTCTGTCATGTGAGCACAACAAGCCAAAAACGCATGAAAGATAACTTCACGTGATGGTTTCACGCTGTCGATGCAGGTTGATAATGATATGCAATGACATGCAAATACATGCATAACGAGAAATATGGAATTGAAACTGTTGCTGATAAAATCTGAGCTCATATGTTGAGGGATGCTGTGTTGGTGTAGAAATATTTAGCTGTTAATTCTGTGCCACTGACAACATATAAAAATAATACAAGACAATTTTATAATCACTTACAAGCTCCTAAAGAGAAGAGTTTGTTTTTTACCCTCAAAGTACACATATGTATTAATGTGATATTTTACAGGAATTCAACAATTTTTAACCATTTGCCTGTTATTAATAATCAGCCAACATTGTAAAATTCAAAATTCATACTAATGCCAGTCATATGTTATCAGCTGTGATTCTTTTACATTCTCTGTCACATACAATATACTTGTGAACATTATATATATTACCAGGTAATATCTGAGTACTAATAAAGCACTTAATGGCTCAGCATATAAGTTTAATCACATGTGTGCTGGTCTCAGCTGATCCTGGTTGTTGTTTCCTCATTGTTTCAGCAGGACTGGCTTTGTTTTAATTCTTACCCGTCCATTGTGTTTCTTCGTCTAGGGATTCCTTCGGGGCCACAGCACCGCCCTTCATCGACTACCTGAAAGATATTCTACGTCGATATCCGGATGGTGGACAAATTTTGAAGGTTGGCATAATGCTCAAATACTTGTCATAACAATTCATTTATATGATATTTCATTTTTGAATGATGTACATCTGTGTATATATATAAGGGCACAACAATTAATTGGAGTAATATTAAAACTGCATATGAGTAAGTGCAATATCCAAAGCACAGGAGCTGAATGGTAATATGTCACGATGTGCTCTACTGAGGTGTTAAAAATCATTTTCTCCAAATGTAAGGGAACATGCCCGTTCGGTATACCAAAGACTGCAGCAAAAGTTACATAATCATTTTCATATTCATTTCAGTGAATAAGTGTCAAAATCAACTTCCCTAATAAAACGGTGACTCTTCTCATAATCACATAATCTGTGGGAAAAAAATCACAATATGATTTTTTTTTTTTTTTCCGTTCAGCCCTTTAATACAAACAGGCAAAAATGAGTAAATGAGCTTTTAGCAACATCTGGTGCAATAAATGTCCTGAGCATTGTTCCTGTTTTTGTAACATTGCAACAAGATTATGCTGTAATTGGTTGTGTTTGGCTATCATGTATTCTTAATCTGTATTTCTTCACTGAACCTAAGATCCTGTTTTGCACTTTTCTACTGAGCACAATGTGCGTCCTTGAAGGTAACATGGCCGGTTAGAACTGGTTCACATACTGGGAGACAGCGGAAATTCCTCTGTTCTATCAGTTACTTTAGATACACTCCTTTTGGACAACACACACACACTTTGTATTTGATCCAAGCAGTTTCTATTTACATTCCAGTGAACTTCAGCTGAACTGTAGCTGGCCAATTAACCTCGATTGCTTGCAAGTCCAACATGTGTTCGGGGCAGTCCCAGCTCAAGAAGTTAGATGTGAAGCATTTCCGGATATCGGGGCTCCTTCTGATAGAGCCCTGTCACTCCGAGTCCAGCGCTGCCTCACTTTACCTGTGACCTAAATAAGTTCTACATCTGTGAACTGAAGATTTCTCCGGTTTGTTCTTGGGCTTCCAACAAAAGAATCAGGCTAAAAATTACTGTAGACATTGGGCAGATTTCTGAAAAGTAATAATTAACAATTCAAATATCCCTGTAAGCTATGGCAGAGTGGCAGTGAGTCAGGTAGGAAAACATTAGGATCCTGCACACTGGGACTCTTTTGTGTTTGACAGGACACTGAGTTTGTTAGGTACCGCTGTTTATACCAGTGAAGGAGGTAAAATATTAGAAATAGACTGCAATGC